TCCATCTTTGATGTTACGGGCATGGTAACAACGTAGGAAAAGACACGATCTCATTGGCGTACCAAAAAAAACAACAAACAAATTTGAATATGCATGCTAATTACCTTTGTACATTTGGTAAGAAGCTTTTTTTGAGCGGTGTATGCAACCTCATATACAAGATTTAACCTGGATTTCAAATACGCAATTGAACGCTGTCTTACAGGCACTGACGATACCCCGGGGTACCAAAGTATAGTGTTATTCAATGAAACGTAATTGTTGAGAAAATCTGGAAGTTGTTTTTGCTTTCGCCGATGGGACATTCTGTAAAGTTGCATCATTGTCGCTCGATTTATAATTGTAACATTTGTTTTATTTCCAACGTCTTGTTCGTATCCCGTTATTACTGGAATATTACACCTAACGACAAAGTTATTGGAGTTGATTTCTTCACCACAACTGCTATTTAACAATATTCCTCCATTACCAATTAGAGCGCACGTCTTTTGTGCTGGTATTGTATGTGTAATACCTTCATCCCTTGTCGAATTATTAAGTCCGAAAGTCATATTTTCCGCGGAGACATTTTTTTCATAAATTTTTATAATGTCTGCATTAGGGTACTTCGTAGATACAAGTTTCCTGTTGAACAAATCATAAAGATGCACATAACGAAACCGTTAAATAAATATTGCAATCATTTTGCTTTGTCAACAACTGTAATCAATACGACTTCCCTATAAATTACCCCATCTGGCAATGGACAACAAGTTTCTATGACGTAATTGAATGATAGTAAGTTCATTCACATCATCGATGTCGTTTTGATTCATTGCTAATATGTTAATGAGATATTCACTATCTTCTAAATGACGAACGACTACGCAACCAATCACAATCGTTTCACACGCCAACGTAATGTGACGTCACAGAAGCACGTAATCACTGAGGCGATGTATAAGGAAGCTACTTAGAGCAAATACAGAAGTGATATTCAGAAATGTCATCGTTATATTTTACAGAAATGAGAGCGCAATGAAACATACATTTGACGAGGGACATGGCACAATCACAATCATCGTATCGCTACGTGATCCCAACACCCACAGAATCATTTCAACTCCTTTTTGTAGACGAGTTTCAAATCATACGTGGGTGAACATTAATACTTATAAACGATACATGAAACTTATTTAGTGAGGAGTTAACACCCTGAACTGAAACTCATAAATGAGAACAGAAACCAACTTTAAAAGTGAAATGAGCTAAATTTATAGATGAGAGCTAAAACTCATCCCGTGGATGCGAGCTCGTTATGTAATAAACTATACAATGATCTTCTACCTTAATTTACTACTACCAATAACCTCCGAGCCATTTGCGGACATGTTCGTGAGGGAGGCAATCTGTAGTATTGTAGTTCCTGCTGTGTTCTTACTGCAGATAAAAACAAGATTATATTGTCACCCTATGTCATTGCATACGTTGTTTAAATCCATGATATTCTAGCTTCGACGAAATGAAATCAATGTCAAATACTATTCAATTAGTCCTGATTAAATTATAATTTTTTTATAATATACTAGACTAAACGTTATATAATAAACCATCCAATGATCATCTACCTTGATTCACTTCTTTCACCAATAACCTCCGAGCCATTTGCGGAGATGTTCGTGTGGGTGACACTCTGTAGTCGTGTAGTTGACGTTGTGGTCTCACTGCAGATAAAAACAAGATTATATTGGCATTGCATAATATGAAATAGATGTTGTATATGAAAATATTGTTTGCTACATCAACAAAAGGATATTGACTTTTTATCATTATGCAACAGCTACGTGCATTATTACTTTTAATGATTCATACCTTGTTTGAATCCATGATATTCCAGCTCCGACGACTAAAGATGTCCATTGATGTGACAATGCACTGGAATATATACCGGCGTACCCGATCCATCCTACCAGCGTCAGAGGAACGAACAGTGTGAAAACTGTGCATTTCCATCGATTACAGTAATTCTTCATCTTGGAATTTGATATGTATTTTCAGACTGTGGGATATGAAACAACAATTAAATCATATACCTTGTCATTAAAAGTCCGTCCTCGCAAAACATGACGTCAAAGTGTAGTAAGCCGAAATCGAAGAGCGAAAAAGAACCGAAGTCTATTTATTTCCTTTTTTTATTTGTTCAGATATGTCTTTCGTTGTACCCTTTGGCGTTTGGTGCGTGAAAAGTGTGAATGAATTATTCATGTGTTTATTGTTGTATCTGATATGCCCCCTACTTGATTAAGTTTCCATAATTTCCATATATAATCGCCCTATTGAAATGTGATTCAAAATGCTGTTAGTCTGTATGTTATCATAATGAATACATGTTGAGCAGTGATTAACTACAAGACTAGACGTTAACATCTGAACGTAACTAATCTCATATGGTCCTAATCTGGTACTACAAGACCTAAGCTTCTGCTGTGCCGAGGAGCTCAGCGTGATATGCAAATTTATGCAAGAACAGCTGTAAATTCAGTGCGGCGCATCGTTTTCGGCAGACGACTGGGACAAAATAAAAACTCCAAAAAAAACATTAATTCGACAACTTAAATAGGACAACTTAAACGTAAATACATTATATTTAAACGTTTATATATTTTCTGACATTGTACAAAGGTCTCTGCTGACCTAATTCTTAGCGTCGTGTAGTCACAAAATTACTGGGCGTAAATGTTGCTATGTAACTTTGCTTTGCCAGTGTAAACATGGATCTACTTGCAGTATAGCTAGAACTGAAATTAATATAAACAATTATTTCCAAATAATGAAAATTATAGTGGATCGCACTGAAATAAAAATTCGTGCCTTGCCGACTAAACGGAATTATGCGTCTCTGCAAATTCTAGGCCTGAAGTTCAAATACATGTAAGCGACTTTCTCCAGGTCATGTAACAAAACTGTCTCCATGTGTAAATTTCACCAAATTACGGGCCGTAAATATTTGCTGTAACACGTTGCATTGTTGACGTAAAACATTGGATTACTTGCGATGTAATATCATACTCAGATTTGAATAAAAAAATATTTCCTAATAAAAACGAACATTAGTTTATCTCACTGAAATAAAAAAGCAACTTTAATAAAAACGGATCGGCAATACACAGTTTATTAATAACTATAATTATAATAACAATTGCATTATATAACGCCGTAATTCATAACTTCGTTACAACACAACTTTGATAAAACGCTGGAAAAATACCATTACGTCAAACCATCAATATCAAGATGCATTAATATAACTAAGACGTCTTCGTTGACTGGAACGCACTGTCACTAAACACAAATTGAAAATCTCTAACAGGATAGGAATCTCTGCTCCCTGAACTTTGAATCAATTGCTGTCAAACAGCGGGCAGCTATTTTTCTACTTGACAAGTTGACCCCGTTCGTATTTGGACAGAAAAAAGGTTGTTTTCGGATGACCTCATTAAAAGGTAATGAGTGAAATCGGTGGATCTCCTCGGAGGACATGGTAGCTCCCCGGAGCTCCGCGGATACCGGGCAAAAAACCGCTTTTTGATTGTGATTACCTCCCCCAAAAAATGTCGCACATGCGCAACGCGACGACCACCGCCCTTTAAACTTATCGCAGCCACTAAAACAAATCAAAATAGTTATTCACCGAACTACTTTTCCCACAAGACAAACATCTATGAAAATGACGGTCTTTGAGCCATTTACTGTTTGTTCTTGTGGAGAAAATTTCTTACCATATCCTAAAATATTGTTTGGTAAATATTGTGAAAAAATGATATGTACATATGACGGATACATATGATTGTCAAGAATTATTAGAACATTCATTACTATTCCTTTTCAGTAAAGTACAGATTTAACGTGACATAACATTGGATTATGTGCATTATTTTAGGCAAGTTAGCGAAAAAAACAAAAGTGACATGACAAAATTGTGTCAAAATTCTCCCCTATTTATCAGGTCGAATGCCCGCAACTTACCTTAGAAGGGGAGATTGGAGGTTCATTTGTCTAGCTATATTTGTATTTATTTTGTATTTTGTATTTATTTATTTATTTATTTACACCAGAAAAAGAAAATATACATAACACAATTAATTTTTCCTTTTTACCACTGCAAAGGATTCTGGTGTGGGTCATGGAAATAGCTCATTTGAGCTAGTCGAGTCCTAGACCCGGAATAAGAAATAATACTGTACTGACGTGCGGATTATCATAAATTTATCATATACATATAATTTATACTACCAGTCAATTAGTCAGCTTGTCAATCCGTTAATCAGTCAGTCTGTTGTAGTGAGTTGTCAGCCAATAGTCGTATAATTAATCTGAATATTCAGATATAAGTTCAGCTTTCAGAAAATTTTTAAAAAAATATCTACTAATATTGGCATTTTGTAGTTCTGGTTCTAGTGAATTCCAATGCTTAAGTGATGCAAACTTTATGTTATGCTGGGTTATAGAAAGTTTTGTTTTTGGTATAGAGAGGCTGCCACTTCTATTTATTTTAGTGGGATAATTATGAGAAGGAGTGTTGATGTAGGTATCAGGACAGCGTGCGAAACGATTTTTATTTAAATCGAAAATATATAGACAAGAGTGGAATTTACATAGTTTATGAATGTCCAGAATTTGAAGAGAACGGAACAGTGTTGCAGAATGCGAGTTCAATTTTGAAAAGGTGATAAGCCGCACAAGTCTTTTCTGGAGTCGTAGAATCGGTTCAAGAAGGTAGATAGCGTTTCCCCATATTTCGG